GGTAAAGTTATATTTATATGAATCAGAACTTTAAGTATTTAAATGTTTAAATTATAAAATTAAATGCGGTCAACACCCTAGTAACGTGTTATCTAGTAATCTTATAAACTGAGATAAGCCAAATACAAAATGTTCTTAACTATATAACTTTTATAATTGTTAATTAGCCGTTGCATACGTGCAATAACTCGTAAGATCTCAGAAGATTTATTACAGCGATGATTTTAATCATACACAAGCGAGTTCATGGCAATGATAACGATTGAGCTGCCACTTTTAACATCAGGAGCCAAGTCAGCAGTTATTTCTTTCTTGATTTTCTTTGATTTACTTCCAGACAAGTCGACAGTGGCTTAATTTGCTCGAACTTTTTTTACATTGCCTTGTCAAGAAACTAAATCTAACATTATTTTGGAATTCATAGTCTCAATACGCAGCTGTTTCAGAGAAGTAAGTATCACATTTGCTTAAAAGATACATTAGAACTCACTCTCAAGCTATTGTGTTTACTTAACAGCACCTTGTATGATAAAAAAGGCGAATAAACATGTATAAAAGGAGTTCTCATACTATTGCATTTAAAGAGGACACTTTCAATTCGGGGTCCAAATGACCAATCATAACTTAACCTTATCACTGTTGATTAACATAACACGAGCACAGTCGTGTAGCAATAATTATATAGTAATAAATGATTGAAACTGCTAATCTCTTAGATTTAACATTTATCGTATATACTATTTGTCAACAATAAAATAGCGTTTTTAAGGAATGATTAGAGCATTATTCAGACTAACTACATTTACTTCATGCAATTTTTAGAACGAACTTCTTTATGTCGCGTACTGGGAGCTGGAATTTTAAAAACGACAGATTTGTATGAAACGAAATTCGCTTACTGGAAGTCTCTTCCTCCTAATTCAATGTATTTCCTACCCTTACCCCATTACCCCCATCATCAGTCCCCTACATAATTCCTCTCACCCCACCCTATATCTTCCAACCGCGCTGCGCTACTCTCCTGTCCCACTAAGCCCACCATTCTCCTTCACACTCCCAAGAAATTAATTTTTAAAACAAATTTTGTTTTCCCACAACAATTTTTATTTATCTTTGAATTTTTGTCTTTCTAAAAAAGAGATTCGAACCCTAGACCTCCTGCATACGAGTAAAGTAACTTACCCACCTTGTTACGATCGCTGCCGACTTTAGAATTTCGGTTTCTTGTACTTATCGTGCGGTTCGTAACTTATTTTACATTTTAATATGCATTTACTGATAATACATTCATACATTCAATTAATGATAAATTATTTCTTTGATTATTTATTGAAACGAAGCTCTTTATGTCTCGTAAGACGAAGTTTTTTATGAGAAAATTTAGTTGAGTTCAACTCTTGTGAGAGCTGAACTAAATTTTCTTATCTCTTTTTATTCTTTTTAAAGTTTTTGCTTAAGTAAACTACATGAATGCAGTACTTATTTTTATAGAGCTTTGTTCTTCCTATGGCTCTGGCGACCCCGTTATTACCTAAGAAATTGTGTGTCTTTATACTCATCTCATGTTTATAGAGCTTCGTTCTTACCGTGGGTCCCATAACCCATTTATACCCCCTGATTTGTTTCTTTTACTTTACTACTTTTTTTTTTTTTTTTTTTTTTGTTATCAAATTCATATTCTAAAAATAGCTATTAATGTTAGTTATATTTAATGGTAATCAAAATGTTCTATAACTTATCATTTTTTTGGATTATAAAATTAAAGCTCTTTTGGTCCAAGCCATAAAAATAATTGTTTCCTAATAATTGATAATGAATAATAATTTTTTATTTTATCAACAAAAAAAAATTATTTTTCAACACCACAAAGCGTCTTAAAGAAATCATTTAAATGTGCTTCCTAATTCATAACTATCCAACTTTTTCATTATCTTTGGTAAATGTTGATAAAACAAGTTAAAGTTATCCGTAATCTTGGTAGGATTAAAATTTAAATTTAAAAATGGACTTCAGCTGATCATATTTTCATTTTCTTTAGAATCTTTAATAAAGAATTGTTCAAATTTTTTTTCTAATTCTTGCCACAAATATCTTTTACCATTAAAAACCTTTCAAAGTATTCCCTTATCTGTTTTTAATAAAAATAAGATTTGGTTCCATTCATATGATTTAAAACTAGTTTGAAATAAAATTCTTTAAGTTCTTAAAAGACACTATGTTAAATTGGCCAATTATTAGTTTATGTTAAACTGTTTCTCTTTTAACACAAGTTTTTATTACTGTTATAAAACAGTGGTGCTTTTATGTATAAAAATAGTTATTTTGCTTGCAAAAATATGTTTATTATTTCAGTGGAACCAAGCTGCAAAGCTGTCTTTGACTTCTTTGTAGCTATAAGCATTTTTTTTCCATACATACATATTTCTGTTTATTTGCAACATGCACTGGTAAGTTAAATACCAAAAGACTTTGTCTACGTAGAGGAAATTTCTGCAATGGTAATTCGGCTTTCATAGGACTTGAAGAACGACCATCTTTATACTCCAATGTTACATTAAATATTTCTATAGTATTTTCATTAGTGTTTATAGTATTTTTTGTTATTTTATAAGGTGCCTTACATTTTCCTGTAGAAATATACTTTAAATGTTACTATATCCTTAAAATATAGGCGCAATATTCAACGTAAATATGGAAGTTGTATTTGTATACTGAGATTTTATTACATGGTACTACGATGGAATTCTTAACTAAAATTTTTCTTTGTTTTTATTTATATTATATTTGTTAGTATCACATCTTTAACGGTTCTTCTGTACTCCAGATAAGCATTTTTTTAAAAAAGGTACATTTAGTAAGCTGGACAGAAATTGTACACACACTTTTATGGCTGATAAGACAAGGACAATATTCATCGTTAGGTTTCTGAAGCATACGTTTAATAACTTCTTTGTATTACGGGCTGATTCTCTTTTATTCAAATTTATCGTGTTAACGTAATAAATAACTTTTCCAAAAATATTTTGCTTGCTTATATCATCTAACACGGATGTGAGCTTTGTATGAAGTAATCAGATAGTAACATTTAGTATGTCGTTAGGAGAGATACTATTAGGATCTAGTTTTTAAGAAATTTTTTTTAATCACATAAAATTGAATAAAAGAATTTCATAAATAATTTTTGACAAACCAGCCCAGAGTAGAAAGCTACTTAAGCCCATAGAAGTAAAAGAGATCTACATTTTTGTGCGTCGCTTTTTCTCTTGTCGGTCTAAGTGGTTCCGTATTGCGGATTGCGTGCTCCATGTGACTTTACCTTAGTTGTTACGAATACCATGAATCTACACTGGATTATAACCATACAAAGTGAATGAGGTTGCTTCGAATTAGGTAATGGCATATGATTATGGACAGAGTATTCTAGATAAAAGTATATTATGTCATCTCGTGGATGTATAACTATTTATAAATACGATGGAAGCTTTAAATAAGCATCGAATAACAGCCTATTTGTTTATTTCAACTAATTCATAAAGTGTGAGAAATAAGTTCTTCGCATCGCTAGAGACCCAGAACTTATTGTTTTTGTTAATTACAGTAAGCAAAATAATCTACTTAGTGTGCATAAAATTTTTTTTAATTTTTGTATGCAATGTATATTAAGAAATTTAAATCTAATTTTCAAGTAAAGCATCTGTATTTGTTCGTTTCACTATCCTAAATGAAAAGAAGTATCAGTATAAGATCTTCTCTGGATCAATGCTTGGTGTATCACATCCGAAATAGATCAAGTATACAGATCGACGCATAGATATTGCACAAAGGGCCAAGCTCCACTAGCATTTACATAGTATACTTGCATCAGTAGATATGTTTAATTCACATCGTTTGTTTGGTTATCGTTCACCATTTTTTTTGGTTATTCTCAGGTACAGTAGATCTTTATATAACTGACTGGTGTGTTTATAGGCATATTTAATCAGAAAAAGAATAAAACAGTAACTAAAGTATAAGCAAACAAATAAAAAAAGTTGAGTGCTCCTAAGTAATCCGTTTGTAAAAGCCTAAATTTACACTGTAACCATTTACGCTGACGGAAATGGATAAAAACGTTGTATAAGACCTTTTGTACAATGAACATTTTATTAACAAGAATTAAAGTACTTTTACAGTTTCTTAATTAATGTGGTTAACTACCTTTGAAATGGAATCCGAGAGAGGCGTATATATTATTCGTTGATTCCACAAAGCTTTATGAGCAAGTGAAGAAGTTTTACAAATACTTTCATTATACTAGGTAGCACAATAGAGAATAGAGTTGTGAAAGCTATATTTATTGCATTTTATTGCGTTACTTAAAATGCGTTTAACATAGCAAGTATCAAAGTAAATTAGACAATAAATTTAAACATATTAAAAACTAGATGAATACTGTATTATAGTACTAGACAGAAACAGTATGCAAAAAACAAATATTAATTTTTTCCTTTTATTCTAAGAAACTTAAACATTTGTAAATGTTAGTTACGAGCCTTTAATGACAAAAATGTGTGAACAACAGTTGTACGGATATTTTTGTTAGTAATATTACTTGATAATCTTAACAGTTTTTTCTCTGCCTTGACAACTTAGTAGTAGAAATAAGATTAAAGAGATGGAAAAGGTAATAAAAAGAAAAGTATTTTAAAAAAACTCAGTTTTTAACTAATATGAAAATTTTTTTGATTATTCTGAATAACGCAAAAATTAAAAGTATCTGTCAATTTTAACACAGCATATAAACATTCCAGAAAAATGCAAACAACCATAAGTAACTACACTGATATTTGTTCCATCAAAATATTGTACTCATGTAAAAGAGGATTCTGTAATAGGATGTGCGAATCAGTAAAAGAAACTTTAGGAAGTGAATACATAAGTAAAATAGTTTTACATGAAAATAATTATCCATTTCAACTAGTCGAACTTTTGCGACATGAGGACCTTATTTACGTTGTAAAAGATTTTCTAAGAAAAACTATCACAACCTTTGGAAAAAAAAGTGCAACTTATTCAAACCAAAAACGTAAGCAATTGCTAGTTTGTGAAGATAAACAAACGTTTAAGAAAATACTGCACTATTTAAACAAGGCTGTACTTTTAGCTCCAGAAATATGTAAGTAAAGACAAATATTTATAAATATATTTAAATACGCATATGTATGTACGTAGAGATAAGTAACAAACTTTTTGATAAGCATTTTTTTTCAATACATACATATTTCTGTTTATTTGCAACATGCATTTATAATATTAAAGTTTATTTCACACATTTTACGTACTTTTCTCACTGAACGTTCTCCACTAAAAAAAATTCAATGTTCATTTTTAAATTAAAAGACGTTATGTGCCTTCTTTGTGATTGACTTACATAAACAATCTTATTTGTCGTACATAAAATAATTTGTATCAAGTGAAATTTCAAAAAAAGTTTTGAATATTCTTTGGTTTATGAAGGAACAGTAGGAATCTTATATGGATGCCTGTAGTGTTACGTCTTGCATATTGAAGAGGATCATTATTCGTGGAATATAGAACTTATTATTTGTTATTTTTTCAGATTAAACCTTTTTGCAGTTTCGTTATATTTTGACAAATCTGGAAATGGACGTAAAATTAAAGCTACAAAATAATTTAGCATGTCTGTTGTGTATAAACCAGTTCATTATTGACTATTATATGTTACTCTTGCAGATGCTTATCGGTTCGTTTATTTTTCTTAATTTGCTGGTCATGGGATGAAGGTGTATATACGTGAGTAAAAGCCTCCTGCACGTATAAATGTGGTGAGATCTCTCTCTCTCTCTCTCTCTTTCTCTCTTTGTCTCTTTCTCTCTCATTCTTTTCCTAAATCATTAATTTATCTCCGATTGCCACTATATTCAATTTTGAGAAAATCAGAGAGATAAATGGTATGCATTACTACCTGGTTGAGTATACCTTTGCCTTAATACAGGATCAGTGAAAGAAATGATGATGAAGAGAATGATTGATAAAGGATAGGGAAGAGATGAATAAATAGCAAAAGTCTCTGTTATGAATTTTTGCACACTACGGCTGAAATAAAGTTCAATAATATCCAGTGGTTAATTTGCTTTTAGATGATGGACATGTATACGTTGATTTTTTTTAATTTATTGTCAATGATGCTTGTACACAAAAAGTATGTTTCATATTTAAAAACACAATAAGACGAGATCTTACACATTTCTGTACAGCAACCATAAAAATTGGGATCACATCATGGGCGTAAGACGTTGCTTTCTTTCAAAAAATTAGAGTCTACATATTAATTTACCACAACGGATACCATTGAATTCGCTGATTTTCACGTTAGTTTTGTATAATTTGTTACTTTGGGTTTTTTTTTCCATGGTTTCTTTATTTATTATTTTTTACATTTTTTTCACAGAAACTCTAGATTAAGGATATTTTTTACAAAAAAAAACAAAGACAAAAAGGGATGGTGAGCATTCGAAAATGTTGCCGTTAAGCCAACATTGAGTCTTAAACTGTTTTCTACGACGTGATGTGCATGTAAATATCAGACATAAGACGATTACCAAACAGTATTAACTTTTAGATCATTCAAACTCAAGGATAATTATCATTACCCCCAACCGTAGACACACAACAATCAAAAGATGTACGCCCGTTTAATGAGATCTTAAAACATCTCACCATTTGCATCACCCGTATTTCGTGTTATCCATAGTTAATTTTATTACACGAAATATTGTCATGGAATCAGTATGTTTGAAGCACTTGATGTGTTTCTCTATATTAATAATAGATCAGATATATTAAGTTGATCCAAGAAAGGAGCACTTTAAAACCATCTGTGGGTTTTCAAGAAAAACTCTTGGATTGATACACTCAATAATGATCAATATAGCGTTTAAGCTTGGCCCTATTCTGTCCATCTCTCTCTTGTTTTTTCAATTCCTTTGTACATATGTTACAAACTCCGTCACATTGATTATCTCATCTAACATGCGCCACGTACTTCTCTTTTTGTGGCTTGCTGCGAATTTTACTATACCCTGCCACGCACTCTCCATTTCTTTACTTGGTGTCCATGCGCCTACGGCTATGCAAATACTCACCACTCCATCCGTGAGATGACAATTTCATGTCCTTAAAACTATAAGAACGTACGCTATACTAGCTAAAATATCACGCGATTTCCGTATAACGAGTATCTGTAAAGATTATCTTTCATTTAAGCTATAATGCATGTATCGGTTTAAATATTTTACGCACGCGGGATACTCTTATTCGTCACAATATACCAGCGTTTTAAAGAAAAAAAAGTACGTGTATTATATTTAAAATAAGTTGTGTGTGCTTGAATCTTATAGCAAAGATTTAAAAAAGTAACTGGTAATAACTGTTAGTCATCCTTCCAAGTTCTTTAACATCAAAGAAAATGCTTGTACGGTATTGGTATAAGCTTTTTTCAGATTTTCTTGCTCATCTCTAATACGTGAGATTGTGTATGTGTGGCACTAGTATTTAAAAACACGTCAGGCAAAGAAAACGATTAATTGCCTAATAGTATGTAAAGTATTAAAGTACCACCATATCATTTAGTCTTGCGGATCCAATTATCAATGATGATAATAATGACAATGACGAAGGTGATAATGATGGTGATGATGATAATGTTCGTTATTGTCAAGATTCAAGAAGCCGTCTGACAACCAAAAATACATAGCAATTACGATTATTTATTACATAATAAAAGAATAAACTTAAAGTTGCACATGATAAGCTAACAATAACTTGGTTTACGGTAACTTACAAAATTACAAAGACATAAAAGAAGGAGAACTACAAAAAGCTACAAATGTACGAAACACCATCTAGAATTTTTATAAGTATAACTTAGCATGTGACATAGAACTTATGATAACAACATGAGTAATAACATAAATAGTAATAAGAACAATTTTATAAAATAGATGAGAAGAAAGTCATGTAAAACGACACTCTGGTAATATCAGAAGATTCCAGGACTTAATAACTATATTACACTAGTACAAAGCAACGGAGTGGCTTTGTTCTATAACTAACATTAAGTTAAAAAGCGACCTTTTTTCAGAGATTTGATAGTTACTCCCGATATAATACTCACAGAGATCTTCTTCCATAGTCTTAAAGCGCTCATACGTAGGTGTGCGCGTAAAAGGGACCAAAAGGACGGTAAATGGTTTCATGCCTAGTAGAGCTCCTCAGGCAGTCCACTTGTAAGAATAGCTATGCTAAGTAACTAAATTACTCTGAGACTAATAGCCCATAAGCCATGCATTCCAAAAAATACTTTTTAAGGGCACTAGTAGTGAGCCAACCAAGTCGTCTGTAAAAAGACATCATCTTGCCATCGTAACTAACCACAAAAATAACCCTCACAACCCTATCAAACAGTCAGTATTGCTAAATCTGGAGATATTTTTAAAGGTTAAAATATACTCGTGCCAAGTAATAAAAATAAGGAAGCACAAGTGAGATTACAAGCTGTCTCTTCATAATACCTTAGTACTCTTACATGTCAGGATACATATAATTGGCCAATAATGTAATAAATATAGGAACATGAAAGGAAGCAACAATTGTAAATAAATTTTCAACGTATTGCAATAGAAAACCACTTATATTTCTGCTTCGAGACGTAGAGAAACAGTGCTGCACTGTCTGGTGTACCTTGACCCCCGAAACAAAAAACTGTCACAGAGGGCGTCACCGGAAATTATATTTAGATTCTCCTTACAGCAAGGTGCGCAGTGGGTGAGCGCAAGGAACTGACGAATATAACTTGCCCAGATCATCACGAGAAAAAATGTTGACCCACGAGCTAGACCTACTCGTCACAAGACCGAATCGTCTCAGAGTATATAATGGGGATTGCAGAGATAGAGAAAACGACAATGTATGCTGGAGAAAGCTTTCACGAGCTTGCCTTATATCGGCCTTAGTAATCCTATGAAGCGATCTATCAGTAAGATGCATTCTGTTGACACTTTCCACTTCGGTACATGTAATCTTAAATTTTACATTGGCTCTGCACTTCCTTCGTGATAAGGGGGTCAAAACTACACGAAAAGATTTTTTCATTGGAAATCCCCTACCACGATTTTAAACATCAAGTAATTAACTTATTAAAATGTAATAATAACAGATCAAAAGCTTTTTACGTCAGTCTGGTAATTGAAATTTCTAGCCCCACATTAGTCACGACAACATTCATGCTTAAAATGTTTGTCTGACAATAGCAATATGCGTACTCAGTGGCTGTTGTAGGTGCTCTTCACCTACCATCGGTAGCCTCGAAAAATCAGTGGCATACGCAGAGTGAGCAGTACGTTAAACCCGCCACTTACTATACATAGTATACATATACCTACACGTGAGAGTAGATCATCGTGCGTTATTTATTTCTTTATTTGCATAAGGACTTGTTTATTATGTGCAAACCTAAATCTTCTTCTTTATTTACTAAATTTTAATGATGAGTTATCGTGATAAGTGCATGTAGTCAACACAACTCTGTGTACTAAAAAGTACTTACATAATGTTCTTACCTACAAAAGAGTATTAACAAAGCAAGAATGTGTGCATATCCATGGACTAATAAAGCAAGAGTGCTAAAAGACTCTTTCGCGCATGCATTGTTTGCATTGCTGGAAGAAATACTTGGTAAGCAAATACCTACCAGGCACTGGCATTAGTCTGACTTATAGTAGTAGGATATTAATTTATAATAACTCATACATTTTATCATAGGTTTTATACTGTCGTAATACGGGTTATGTCCGTACCCCGTACTGAAAAGCTCATAACTGCTTGTGGTACGGGACTTTCAACGAAAAAGGTCTTTTCGTGTTCGGGAAAGTACACTTTAAGCTAAATGGAGCTTCCTTTTCAATGATAAAAAGTTCTACTATCAGTTTCTATTGAATTTGCCCTACCATGAAGTCAAAAATTGTTGAAAACATCTGTAACAAATGCAAAGGCTTTCAAAAAAGTGAGCGATGTTTAAGCCTTTTTTCATTGCATAAAAGTCTCGTTTGTTCAGGCTCTATAAATACAAATAGAAAGAGACCAGTTACTAAATTT